AAAAAACCACCCCCCCCCCCCCCCCAAAAAAAAACAACCAACCAACCAAACCACAAAACACCAGAAAACCCACTCTGGTGTCCTAATTTAAAAAGGTCAGAGCTTTTGCTAAGCAAAAATACCTTCAGTGATTTTTCTCCTCCCTTTGTTGGGATTGCTTTTACCATTTCCGTTATGGATAGCGTCCAGACTTGCCAATTAAGAGTGAACAGCAGAGAAGACACGGCACTGGATTTGAGGGTGCCTTTGTAGTCTGGCAGTACAAGAATAACATGCAATCCTATCCCATAAAACTGCCTCTGAGGACTTTCTGATCCTACTGCTATTCTCCAAATAATTAGCAGATACCGTTTTAGGGTATTAGATCTATTGATCTAGCCTGGATTGTTTAATTACTTAACGGCTCTGTTCTGGTCCAGTGTAGCTGGGTAATTATACTAATTTCATAACATAGAGTGCCCCCTTGCCGACACCCTCTGGAAACTGGGACAAACTGTACTTAAATCCATGGATTTACTCTCAGCTTATAGCAGTGTAACCGACTGCAAAATTTGGCCTATAAAATTAACATCCAGGAATCACTGCATTGCATCTCAGGTGCCCGTCCCACCATATATATAAAAATCATATATCCTATCCTATATATATACACCCAGGGGACCATCCAATCATATATATATATATATATATATAAAAAAGGGACAGATCAAAAAGTCAGATCAAGGTAGTATTTTCTCTGAAGAACTTGCATGAATCACTGCAAACACTGTAGCTCATCCAAGTGGTTTCTGTCCTATTTGCAAAACAAAATGTTTACTCAAGATAGTTTATCTCAGACTCTAGAGGCCAAGTGCGTTGTTCTAAGGTCAGTCCAGGTCATCTAGGATGAAAAACCAGAACTATCTCTTCTCTCAAGTCTTTTAGCTTAACTCCTAGAAACTTGTGCCCCTGACATATTACTCTGCCAAGCTCTCACGGTCAAAGGGCAGGAAGAGGAAATCAATTATAAGCTAGTATGCTAATCTAATTTCCATAGGCCTTGTATAGAGGATGGTCTCTGAAGAACTGCAGTAAAGCTTGTGAACTGGGTAACAAAAAATAAGTTAGTTTAATAGAAGTGGAGAGAGCCCAGTCTTTCTGGGCTAGGATTTCCTGGTTTCTGCTTCCACTTCTGGCTTCAGTGACCCTGAGGAAGTCACTTAGGTCCAAGTTCATGGGTACAAAGCTGTTGTAACTCTACTGATTGCAGTTGACTTCGTTTCCTTCCATGTAAATCTGGCAAAATAATCTGTATCTACTGTGAGCATGCACCGGACCATGTTCAGAAAGTGCCTTAAATGTGTAATGCTACGTGTAAGTGCTAAGGGACAGTTTTGCATTACCACTGACTTCAGCGCAGCAATTGCCCAAGCTGAGAGCCTGGTTCGAAGTATTATTGCTGGATTCGATCAGACTGGGAGAATGCAAGGGTTTACATTTTCTTTCATGCTTCCAACAGACCAGCAGTAGCCACTTAGGCAGATGGCTACAGCCTATATGGGCACCTGTTGGGGATTAAGGATTAGTAGTTGCCTTTTGGAAGGTCAGGTTTTTTGTTTTTTTTTAAAGATCAGTTACATGTGTACTATCGCGGTTGGAGTACGTGGAAAGGAGCAGGAAGGCATTCGGAGCAAGGACTGGCAAAGCCAGATGTGAAGTTTTTGCAAGGTTTGGAGCAGTGTGTGGACAATTGGGGCTCACCTGGGCTTTTTCAGGCTCTCTCATCCCAAACAAAGGAGGAAGGTTTTCTGGCTGAAGTCCAGAGGTAGGAATCAGAGCTGACTGTATGTCTACCTCTGTCACACATTCACTGTATGACCTTGGATACATCATTTTCCCTCACCAGGGCTCAATGTACAATGGTGAGCATAATGATTCCCACTTCATCCAGTCATGAAGGTTAAGTCATGACTGTAAAGCCCCTTGAAATCCATGAATGACAAGCACTGGGAAATCATATTATTGCGCTAGAAAAGCATATAGATGGCTCGAGCTATCTCTTGAGCAATCAGTCTTGTAACAGTACTCATTGCTGTAGTTTCATTTATTGTTGCAACGTATTACTGTTGCCATTATGATAATCCATGCTGCAAAAGATAGCAGAGACAGCATTGCTATCAAATAATTCCTTCTAATATGTAAATGATGCTTGGTTTCCTTATGAAAATGGCACGTTGCTATTAGTCTGTATTAGGGACGCATTTGTATGGCAAACCAGTTATTTGGGGGCTGTCAGGAGGCATAAAATGATTCCCCCCACCCCAGTCTATGTAGGACATATTCAGATCACAGCTGCTGATGTAATTGGATCCTAGAGTCTAATTGTAGCATAGGATACTAAGGTGTGGATTGCTAGAAACTGGTTTTTCCTGACCCTGGGCTGCTCTGGGAAAGCAATTTGGATAGAATTGGGAAGAACTGGTCCTTCCTGTTAACTCCCAAGAGCTATTATGCTGCTGCATGCCTTTGATCCAGTGCGTTGTCTTTTCATCTCCAAAGGGCCCAGCTGGATCTTGCTTCTCCAGCTGTAAGGGATGTGAGCGTTCGTCAGCGAGGAGTACCACAGTGCTCCATTATGTGTGCCACTTAGTCCAGACCCTGGGAGCACCGACTGTGACCAAAGAAATGTGAGTTCTCCAACAGAAAGGTGCAGGGGTGACACCTTTCACCTGTGGGTGAGCAGCTCTGTTCCTAGTTCACAAGCCCAGTCAAAGGAGCAGTTCGGACTTCGGTCCTCAGGCTGGGGGGGGAAGGTGCTTTGGGGCCGCAACCACCTCTCTGGTCCATGTTTTTATAATGTCTAGCATGGTGGAAGCTGGATCAATACCTGAAGCCCTTAAGTGCTCTTGCAATGTGTATAAATCATCATCATAACTGAGACCTTGCATTGTTGGCTAGGATTTTTCAAAGGAACTTCAGGGGATTATGTGCCTAATTCCTTTTGAAAGGCCAGAGAATGGGACTGGGCACCTAGCTCCCTGAAGCTCATTTGAAAATCCAGGTTGCCCTTATCTAGCCACATGAATTAATTGAATAAATGTAATGAATGACTTATGTAATAAGATCAATAGGTTTACAGGAGAGGTCTCGGCTTGAGAAGCCTAAATGCTCTATAGTTACCCCCACAAAAGGTGCCTTAGCAAGTGAGCAGCAACGTAAGCACCAGCAGGGCTGAGAAGGCTGCCCCAGCGCTGGGCTCAATGCAACCCTATTAAAAGCAGCTTTGCAGCTTCGTCCTGTTGCCCTGCTAGGACCCCCCAACCTGGATCTGCAGGGAGCTCAATCTTCCTGGGCTATTCAGACCTTGGCCTCTTTGCAGAGGCTGCTGACAAAAGGACTCATTAAGAGCAGTTGTGGAGGTTGTGATGGAAATTGCTGACCCCCTACCCACAAAGACCCCCGATCACCCCACTCCATCCCCCACTTAACCTCCATCTTCTCATGGTCTCCCCCAATCCTCCTCCTGGCCTCCTAAGGACAGGTTTGTTCCCTCTTCTCTCATGATAAATATTACATATATCCACCTTTAATAATTAAACAGTACATAGCATCTCTGATGAGGTGGGGAGGCAGGAAGAGGAGGGAGGGAACTAATCAGGGAGAAGGGACTTGAAGCAAGCCTGTATGTTGAGTTACAAAGAACTACTTAGTTAACCTCAGTCCAGGTTATCTCAGGATCCGTGTGCCGGTGTTACCCAAAGACCACAACAATTGATGCACCCTGAGGTGACCCAGGGCAAACACACTCCAGGTTGCAAACCAGAACAATAGTACATCTCTACACCCGCAGCACTAGAGAGCACAGGTGTTGCCTTACTTGTGACGGCAGGAAAGACATGCCCAATGCATGCAGTGAGAAATGCAGTGTGCCTGCTAAAAGCAGAAAGACCCGGTGGCATTTCCTGTGCAGAGCTGCCAAAAAGAAGCTGAAGAACCACTAGTTGCTCCAAACTTGTGACCTGAGTATTGCTGACCTCATTTACCAGTTTAGTGGGGAAGGTTTGTCACTGCGTTCAGTGGGATCCAGGCCTTATAACGCTTCACGGTTGCTGATTCTAGTCCTGACATGACAAAGTATTTCAGTGCAAGGAGAGTCCTTTTGCAGTCACAAAGCTTAGCATGTGCCAAAGTGCTTGTTCTGAAGCAGGCTGTATGCAGTTGCTTTAAATCAGCATGTGCATTTACGCAGTTGTCTGCCTTTTGGGGCTAATTCTAGCCCTCATCCATACTGGGGTTTGTATGTTGAATGGTTGTTGGGGAATTCATGCAAAACACCCGTCACCTCAACCAGCCAAAGCCCCAAGCCTGCCTGCCTCTGAAAGATGGGCGAAGCTGTGAATCAGTAACAGAACAGCAGCCCTGAGCTCAGATAGTCCCAATGCTGCAGAAGAAGCCGTACATAGTCAGTGGTGCTGCTTCAAGTCTGAACACCTGCCTGCTTCATATGCCAACGCTGCACCCAGGGATAACTCTTAGGGTTTTCGAGTGCGATACCACGAGTGGTATGTGTTAGACAAGAATATGGGTATATGAAATATTCCTAGCAAAGCCTTAGGGCATGTGTGCATGCGGGATGGCTTAAGTTGCTGTAAGGAATGAAAATTAAAAACCCAGATGCACACGTGTGACTTACATTTGAGCTCCATTTCACTGAAAACAACCATCAGCTCCTCTGCAAATGTTTTCTCTCTTTCCCCCATCGTTCCTGTAACCTTCTCCCTAGATCCTAGACAGAAACCTGCTGCTGATTTGGCTTTTTAAAGTCAAGTCATAATTTTCTTTCTTGAGCTTCTAAATGAAATGAACAGGCCACATTTCATCCAGACAGACTCAGCAACAGAAGCTAATCTGTTATTTTTTTTTCATTTTCACACCTTACAAAAATGGTGCCCACTGCTTTTTTAAGCCTTGAACTTCCCTAGAGCGACATAGTGGATTTTTGTTTTTAAACAAAATATATATAAATTCCTTGATATGCTGCACCCAAATCATAACAATCTTGCTGAATGATCCCTACTTATTCCTTTAAGTTTTCATGTGCTTCTCCTCCTTGTAGGCTGTTAACAGTTAAACTGTCTACTTGGGACTCCTTGCATTGCTCTGGGGAAGAAGATACCTGCAGATGCCTTGCACCTTGCCCAGGGGACTTCCCATAGTGAAGCAGTTTGTGCCGCCACCTCCCCACCCACAGGTGCTGGAATAGTAATAATGGGCTTCTGCATGCTGCATTGCACCACCACCCGTGGTGTGCATAGCCTGGATCCCTCCTTGCATGGTCACAATTTGGGGAAGGATGGCAGACCTTGGCCCTCTAGGACTTGGCCTTTCTTTCTCCAAAAAGACACGAAACAAAGTGCTTAAGTTTGATGCCTGTTGCTATCCTCTTATGAGACGCGGAGCAAGCTTTGTGTGGATGAATGGTTGAAATGCTTAACCCTGTATCTTTTGAGAAGATGACCTGTAGGAGAAACCCTAAAGCTTTTACTGAAATAAGGGACTTGCAGCTAGGAACCTGTCAGGACTATGCTAACCTCTGTGTAGGTGGAACTCATTTTTTTTGCCACGTAAATAAATATCCTGGCACTTAGGGTGAGGACTCTGGAGGGAAAACGGAGCAGACACATGATGCACAGCATTTACTGCAGAGGAAATATTTTTCTCCAGAGGAAAGTTACTTTGGAGAAAGTCAGAAGTAAGATTAGACTGGACAAAGTTCTCTGGTGTATGTGTTGTGTGTCTGCTACCATTGCCTGCATCACTCTGGGGTAGCCATTGGCTTCAGGCTGGACGTAGCCCTGGCTGGGATGATGCAGTTGGGGCCGGTCCTGCTTTGAGCAGGGGGTTGGACTAGATGTGACCTCCTGAGGTCCCTTCCAGCACTCATTTTCTATGATTTGATGACTCAAATCAAACAGCTTCCTGGCAGCTGGGCACTATAATACCTCCTATGTATTCACTCCTTGTGACAGAGTCAATTTACTTGCAAATAAAATCCAATGAGTAAATGTGTGTCCGTAATCACAGAAGCAAAGAACCCCACATTTTATACCTCCCCCTCCATTATCAACCATTTGAAGCTATTAAAAAAAAAATCCATCGCTGCTCTAGCAATCGTTACTGATAAAAGTTTCTCAGGCGCATGAGAACTTTAATTTTGAGCCATTTTGTTTCCGCCAAATTAGGGAAAAGTTGTTGAGACTGAAAAGCAAGTTGCAGCTTGAAGCTGCTGTCCTTCATTGGCTTTGGTAGCTTGGACCTCTACTGTAGACAGCCCCTTTTTCTGCAATGCGATTTTCATAAGTCTGCATTCAAAAATCCAGATTGAAGGACATATATAGCGAATAGCATAACAGGATGCTGCGGGAGGCAAGGGTTTCTTAGGGTGAGATGTTTTATTGGACCAGCTCTGATGTTGGGATAAAGATGGACAAGCTTTCAAATGCAAGATGTTCTTCATCAGGTCACTGAGTGATCGCAGGGAACCAGGCATGGTGTGTGATCAGACAGCAAGGAGGAATGTCTTGCTTTTGAAAGCTTGTCTAACTTTATCCCAAGTATATAGTTGGTCCAATAAAAGATCTCACCCTAAGAAATCCTTCTCTCTCACATAATTTCTGGACATCTACAACATCACTCTTACACTACCATAAGGTGATTGAGTGGAGCGCTGGCTATGCTAGTAATAGAAACAATAGGTATTTAGTGCACAGAGGAGCACTGACTGTTACTGGGGTGGGGGGGCAGCATGGAGGAGCCGGAAAGGGCAGAGTCCTGGTCATTGCTGGATATAATGTGGAGTAATAAATCTGCTGCTTTCTATCATTCAGCACCCAGTTAACAGCTGACTATTCATACACAGGCATGATGCAATGCAATAAGAATGCACTCTCTGCACAATACTCCCAAACGTACCCATGTCACCCTAATTGTCTCTTTTAAACAGCAGTCATTAGGCATTCCTGAGTCAAAATTGTTAGGAGAGGCTCTGCTAGTTGGCTTTTTGTATTTACGAATGAGGAAATACAGTACAGTCTGTAATGCGCCAACGTTTGCCGCTCGCACTCGCAGTACAGGTCAGACTAGGACACCGTGTAGGAATAGCAAGGCCTCTCCTCCCACCACAAGGTACAAGTAACTCCCATCAAAGTCAACCGTTTTGATCAGGAACATAAGAAAATAGGGTTGGGAGTGTCATCTCGTCCCGTCCCCGCCTGTCGCAGGTGACCATTTCATATAGCTCAGCTCATAAAATTGATCAAGGTCCACCTTAAAACTACTTAGGATGTTTGCACTCATACTCCTACTGGGAGAACCTCCCTGCTTGGATGGTGAGAAAACTTCTAATTCCTAGCCTCCATTTATTCATGGCCAGTTTACACTCATTTGTTCTTCCTTTCTTGTCCCTGGTGATCGTCAACAAGTGTCTTGACGCCCATCTTGCTGGTGTCGTTTGACCCCAGCGGTCTTTCCTGCCCACGTGCAGGGGGCTGGACCCGAAGATCTGTAAGGTCCCTTCCAGCCCCAAACAACTATGAAACTATGAAAATCGATTGTCTGTTAAGTGGAGACCAAAGACAGGGGATAAAGCAAGAGGTGAAATCAAGGCAAGACTCAGGAATGCAAACAA